CCCCGACCCAGGCCCTCAGGGGCCCAGACATACTCAGCCCTTGGTGCCCCCTCTCCTGCCTCACTGCTGGGAGAGTCTGCCTCTCAGGCAGGGCAAAAGCCAACTAGCAGCCCTACCAGGAGGAGAGGGCCCAGCCAGCGGTGCGGAGGTGCAGGGCTGGGGGCGGACAGCTTGGTGAGGTAGAGAGCTGTGGGCTTGCAGAGGTGGGGGACCTGAGTTGGCCTTGAGGCACAGGTCAGACCAGGGCCGATGGTCAGGAAAGTGCTGGGGGTCCTGGACAACAAGAAAGGTGAACAGGATTCGGGATAACTGTTGGAATGCTGGCTGTGGTCCCAGGGAGGGGCTGGGCGGGGAGGGGGGCGGGAGCGTGGAGGGGCAGCTCCTTCACAGGCTTGTGTCCCCAGATATGGGAGGGGGCTACTGCGCCCATCCCCCCGGAGGCCCTCAGGGGCACAGACAGAGACTCAGAGCCTGAGGACCTGGTCTACCACATTGAGCCACCCCAAAACGGGCGAGTGGTGTTGCGGGAGGCACCCGACACCGAGGTCCGCAGCTTCACGCAGGCCCAGCTGGACAGCGCCCTGGTGCTGTTCACACACACAGGTGGGTGCCGGGAAGGGACCCCTCATGGCTGGGGACTGGGCGGGGCCCACAAGACTCAACTCCAGGCCTGTCCTCAGGAACCCTGGATGGAGGCTTCCACTTCAGCCTCTCGGATGGCGAGCACATATCCCCTGGACACTTCTTCCGTGTGGTGGCCCACAAGCCGCTTCTCCTCTCCCTGGAGGGCAGCCGGACGCTGACCATCTGCCCAGGTGAGTCTGCTGGGCACTCCTGGGGGCAGAGCGGGCAGACAGCACACCAGGGTCATGCCACTTCGGCCATCCCAGGCTGAGTCCGAGCCCTGGCTCCAGTCACAGGCTGACAGGCCCCCTTCATCTCCCTTAGGGTCCACCCAGCCCCTTAGCAGCCACATTATGAGAGCCAGCTCCAGTGAAGGCACGGACCCCCGGCACCTGCTCTACCGCGTGGTGAGGGGCCCCCGGCTGGGTCGGCTGCTGCACACCCAGCAAGCCAGCATGGGGGAAGCCCTGGTGAACTTCACGCAGGCTGAGGTAAGAGCCCGCTCTGTGCCGGATGCTGAGAAAAGTCTGCATTGCTGCCCCCACAGTCTCGCAGAGCTTCCCCACACCCCAGCAATATGAAGGAGTAGGTCAAATGGCCACTAGGGGTCCAGGCTGGCCAAGCCACCAGGGCAGCTGGGAAGAGCCTGCGTGGCAGACCCATTACAGCCCCCTGTGCCCCTCCCTCCCGAGGAAGCAGGCACTGGGCATCTTGGCAACGCCTTTGTCCCACAGCACTGAGCGCTGAGCCTGCCAGGGGGCAGGGGCCCATGTGCAAATATGGAAACTGAGGCTCAGAGAGATGAAGAAACTATTCCAAGCATTGGGCTCCTTAGGGGCAAAGCCAAGGCTGCCCTCAAACTGCCAAGGTGGGATAGCTTCCATGGAAGGGGACCGCTTACTCCCAGAGTTTGGGGACAGACCCCTCCCACCTTGCCTGTGTGACCTCACCATCCCCAGCACCTCCCTTCTGCAGAAGGGCCTGTGCCCCAAGATCGAGCCCCCCATCCCACTCCCGGGAGTCTTGACTTCCTCCCTCCCCACCCTTAACTGATCTGGCTGTTTGGTGCATTTACGTTTGTAACATTTGGGAGATTGCACATAAAACCGTGAGCTCTCCTGGCTGTGCTGGGTACCACGATCCCCCCACCCCAGCCTGCCCACCACCCCAGGCCCTATGCTTCCTTTAGCCGGTACCACCTCCCTTCCTGTTCACCAGCCCCTGCTGCCCTTGACCCTCAGAGACCCCAGTCAGCCCCCCACCCTCCTTATTAGGCAAGTCCTACAGTTCCCTGTCTCCTAATTGGGGGGGGGGCAGTGAAAGCTGAGATGTGTCAAGAAGATGCCCTTTGATAAATTGGGGAGGAAGCACACCTCTTGATAGAGATGACAGCTGCCCCTCCCTTGGGGTCAGCCACACACCCGCCCTGGAGGACCCCCATGTGCCAGCAGCAGTGGGCACTGGGAGGCAGCGGGCTGTCAGGCCCCAGAGGGGGTCTGTGGTCCACGGGTGAAGCTACAGAATGCCGTCGCCCCCTCACATTCTGAAAGGCTCGTTGTGGGACCTGCGGGAGGGGCAAACTGTGGTGAGAGGGCCCGCTCTGGGGCAGGAAGACAGAGCCAGGAGAGTCAAGAAGGAGTCCGCGGGGGGCCTGGCGTGGCATCGTCCAAAGTGAGGGAGCTGGTGGAGCAGGGAGGCAGGGGGGTGGGCACAGGTTGAGTTTGAGCAGCTGCCAGACATCTGCACAGAGCGTGGGAGAAGAGTCTGGATTCCGGAGAACACAGTCGGGCTGGGGATACAGAGAAGGGGGCCCTGGTGGAGCTGACGCTGGAGTCCTGAGACTGGGGGAGACTGGGGGGCTCGGGGGCGCAGGTAGAGGAGAGCTTGCTGGGCACGTGATGACACCATGTTGGTGAGCAGCAGGAAGCTGGGAGAGTCTGGTGGATCTGGGAGGAAGGTGTGCTCTCAGCGGGAGGTGGGGGGGGTCAAGAAGGGGCGGAGACCGGATGGAATGCGTTCCAGGCGGCCGTGTGGACTGAGTTTTACTGCAGGAGAGAAGAGAACAAGGGAAGTGGGGATGCATAGTCCACGTGGTGTACATCGGTGGACCAGAATGGACGGCCAGAGGAGAACTTCTGGGATAATCCATCAGAGGGCACTCTGAGGCCCTGGGAGAGAGGGGAGACCAGACCGCAAGAGGGTGAGAGCCAGTGAGGGCCGTGCCTGGCTTTAGACAGAAGCACAGGCCGGTGGTCGCCTTCTGCGAGCCTCACCAAGACGAGCTGACCCGCCCAAGGTGCCAGAGACAGAATTTGAACTCCAGCGGCTGACCGGTCACCCAGTGGGGACCCAGTTGGCAGGGAGGGAGAGTGGAGCCGGACACAGCTGAGAGAGCCCCGAGGCTGGGCCCAGAGGGGCAGCCAGAGAGGCCCCGGGGCCCAGTCTATGCCAGCCTGGGCGTAGGCACCACAGGCTGGGCCTGCCTCTTGCCCCAACACAGGTGTCTCCCCCAGGTGTCTGCTGGGCATGTTCTGTATGAACACGAGATGCCCGCCGAGCCCTTTTGGGAGGTCCGTGACACCCTGGAGCTCCTGCTGTCCTCGCCCCCTGCCCCTGACATGAC